GACTGCTGCTGGTCAAACAGCTTGCCTATGAAAATGCTAACTCCCCCTGCCAGGCTGCTATTCGTCCTTTCAGAAAAAAAGGGGACCTAGGTGATTATATAAGGTTATGCACGGACATTGGACCTGCCTATACTCAAGGGCTGGCCATGGCTGCAGCTTTACAAGGAAAAACTATAAAAGAGGTTCTTTTTCAACAAGTACGTAGAGGGTCCCAGATGCGAGTTTCTGGGCCCCCAGGAAGCTGTTATGGGTGTGGAAGAGTTGGACATAGAATTAAACAGTGTCCAGAGAAAAAGTTCCCAATAAAAACTGTTTCGTCCTCCCCAAGGGAGCCCGGTTTATGCCCAAAATGTAAAAGAGGGAATCATTGGGCAAAGGAATGCCAGTCAAAAAGGGATTATTTAGGCAATGCACTGGAGCAGGGAAACTCCAGGAGGGGCTGGCCTCAGGCCCCGAAACAATAATATGGGGCACTCCAACCCTTCATTCTTCAGCAAAATAATCCATTCAAGACCTCTTTAGAGCCACCCCAGGCAGCGCAGGACTGGACCTTAGTTCCACCGCCTTCACAGTACTAACTCCTGAAATGGGGGTCCAGGCCCTCCCCACGGGAGTCTATGGGCCCCTACCTGAAGGCACCCTAGGTTTACTCCTGGGTCGAAGTAGCGCGACCCTTAAGGGAATTTTTGTTACCCCTGGAGTCATAGATCAAGATTATGAGGGAGAAATTAAAATTATGGTTCATTCCCCTACAACTATATCTACTATACCCACCGGGCAACGCATAGCTCAGCTACTTTTGATACCTTTAGTAAAAAAGGAAGGAAAAGTTGAAAACGCTTATAGAGGTGAAAAGGGATTTGGTTCTTCAGATGCCTATTGGGTACAGCCTATAGGAGCATATCGACCTGAGATTCATTTAAAAATCAATGGAAAACTCTTTTCAGGTCTCCTTGATACTGGTGCTGACGTTTCAGTATTAATTGCTGAACAATGGCCCGCAAAATGGCCCAAACAGGTTACTATGACACACTTACAAGGGATTGGACAAAGTAAAAGTACTGAACAGAGCAGTGATTTTTTACAGTGGCAGGATCATGAGGGCCATCAGGGACATTTCCGTCCATTCATTGTCCCCGGACTGCCTATTAATTTGTGGGGGAAGGGATGTAATGAAAGATATGGGAGTTTATTTACATTCATCTAACCCGCAAGTCATGCAACAATTATTTGATCAAGGCCTACTTCCTTATCAAGGACTCGGAGTGCGTAATCAGGGTCCCTAGTCCCTTTGCAGACTAAACAAAAATTAGATAAAACAGGAATAGGGTATTTTTAATGGGGGCTATTGACCTCCCTGTGCCCCACGCAGATCCCATCACATGAAAAACTAGTGACCCTGTGTGGGTGGATCAATGGCCTTTAACCCAAAAAAAAAATTCTCGCTGCAGAACAGTTAGTACAGGAACAGCTCTGCGCTGGGCATATTGAATCTTCTAATTCTCCATGGAATTCCCCTATCTTTGTAATTAAAAAAAAATCAGAAAAGTGGCGACTTTTACAGGATTTAAGAGCAGTTAATAAAACCATGGAAATTATGGGGGTCCTACAGCCCGGACTTCCAATACCGTCCGCTATTCCAGCACAAACTTTCAAAATAATTGTGGATTTAAAAAATTGTTTCTATACAATTCCTCTTGCCCCACAAGGTTGTAGACGTTTTGCCTTTAGTGTATGTACCCTCTGTTAATTTTAAAGGACCCGTACATTTTCAGTGGAAGGTTTTGCCACAAGGTATGGCTGATAGCCCCACCTTGTGTCAAAAGTTTGTAGCTCAAGCGATCCAAGTAGTCAAGACAGATTACCCATCATTATATTTAGTTCATTATATGAATGACATTCTTTTAGCCTCTAGTAATGAAGCCCTTTTATTAAGCGTGTTTGCTGATTTACACCAGGCATTAGTAAACAATGGATTAGTTGTAGCCCCTAAAAAAAATTCAAACGCGACCTCCTTTCTCCTATCTTGGCCACGTTCTGTACCCTAAGGTCATTTATCCTCAAAAGTTTCAATTAAGAAAAGATGCCTTACACACTTTAAATGATTATCAAAAATTGTTAGGGGATATAAATTGGCTGCGCTCATATTTAAAATTGTCCACGGGAGATTTAACCCCCCTTTTCGATGTTCTAAAGGGGGATCCTGACCCCTCTTCACCTTGACAGCTTTCTAAACAAGCCAGAAAAGCGCTTCATAAAGTTGAGTTAGCTATTCAAGACCAGACCGTCCACTACTTTGATTATAGCCGCCCCTGGGCTGCTTATGTTCTGGCCACGCAACATATGCCTACTGCTGTTCTTTGGCAGGATGGCCCATTACTTTGGCTACATTTGCCTGTTTCCC